CTCGAAAAATATCCCGAAAGTCCACAATTGTAACATGTTCTAACATAGGGAGTAGACGATGTCATCGTGATTGGAACTCGTCTTGGTCAGCTAGATTAGTCCAAACACAAGTCCATTACTCTTATTCCTACGGAGGTTACTACACAAATGAATGGTTGATTATGACGAGATAATCATAAGCAAACTCTTAATTAGCATATCACAATGCGACAGGGAAAGAAGAGCAGATTTTAAGAGAGAGAAGAGGGAAAGAGGAAGGAGAGGCAGAGTCAAGCAAGAAAGGAAATAAACACAGGAGATACACGGTCTTCTCCCAAACGCAACCTCTGAGAGGTAAAAAAATCTTCAATGATGATTGCGACAAAACCTCTCATGGCCAGCCTCATGCCAAAGCATACGCAAAAACCTAGCTAGTCAGTACTGGTGCGACCCTACGTCGCGTCGTTTCGGCCGGTCGCCAGCCGACAACTCATCACTGTCAGGGGTCTTATGTCGAAGTCGCGAATTGAGGAGGAGTATACCATGTAACTACCTCTACTTTATACTCCTATCATCAATTCGTCGTTTTGAAAAGAAGAGACAATTCAAGAACATCAAGACAAAAGACCCTTCCTACCATATCAATTTCCAAATCAAAGCCCAACAACCTACCGACATTCTCAAGAAAGTCAAGACAAGGCCAAGAATAGATGTAGATACAGATTCTCAATATGATTCGTACGTCAGACCTTCAGGACAGCCCCACAACCCAACGGAGGGCCTGCATGACTGTATAGCTACAATTCTGCACAGGGGAAAAGTTGGGTACTACGCAAAGTTGAACGCCCTCCGGGGGTATAGATGCATGTTAGGCCTTGAGATTGGGTATATAGCGGGTATTCCCATCTCTTTTTTTTGCCACTACCGGTACTGCTAAGCCTCTACAGGAGCGAGGCCCCACTAGCAAAGGCGATTGGATAAATATCCTGAATCTGGACTTGTTTTAAGCAGATATGCAGAAAAGAAGTTCAATCTCGACATTCTACACCTTTCGATTGATACCATGCTCGGGCATGGGGGCGCAGCCAGGACGACGACGGACCGGTGACCAGCCCACGAGAGTTTCGCTGCACTTTTGTTGTCGACCTGTGAAAAACAAACATCCCAAACGCCACGATAACTGCCAAGTACATTCAATAAGGTGCTAGTGTGATTGTGCCCTCAGTGAGGGCGTGTAGGGGACAATCACACGGAAAAAGAAAAAAGAAAAAAAAGGACCCTTATGCTGTGATTGAGGGCGGATACAGGACGCAACCAACAACACAGTCATTCCTGGCTGCGAACTGCCACTCCGAGTTCCACCACGCAGCTGGATCTACCCGCAGAGCCACACAATGGCAGCCACGTGCAGCCGGCTGCCCCTCAGCGCAACGCAGACCCGAATCAAGAAAGCTTGAAACACGTGGCGCATCTGTCCGCCTTCACAGGTAAGATTCAAGAAAGCCTGAAACGCACTGCGCACCTGTCCGCCTTCACAGATAAGATACACACAATAAATAATAATAATAATAATAATAATAATAATAATAATAATAATAATAATAATAATAATAAATAATAATAATAATAATAATAATAATAATAATAAAAAACGACCATCTTTCGGACCTGTGTCCGGGGCCTCGCAACAATGAACGACCCCAACATTCTGAATCGATGTGTTCGCAGCCAGGATGGCTGCGTATACATGGATGCGTTTTATCGTGTAGTGGCTGCTTTTCCGTTTGGGGAATGTCTGTCGTCATTTTGAGTGCACTGAGACAACTACGTTGTCCAGCTGCATTCACAATGTTGTCGGATGGCGAGTCGTGTAGAGTCGTGCAGAGTCATGCAGCTAGTCCTAAAAAATAGGTGTAAGTGGGTATATAGGGCGTCGCGGTCGCTAACAGGAGACCGACCAGTCGTTTAGTGAGCCAAAGCGGCGGCGGTCGCGGGGAGGGTGGTGTGGTCTTTGGATGGATTGCGGGCTGTGCCTGGTTTCCAGTACAGGAAAGTTGGGAACCGGTTATCTGACCATTCGTTAAATTGAGAGATCGATGAGGGAGAAAATTAAACGTGATTTTGATCCTTGCCGTGCGCGCGCCAGGGACTTTTGTTGCGGTGCTACTGTCCGACCGTGCAAAATGAGACTGAATCCTTCGTTAGAACATGGAAAGATACATCGCCATCCCTATTTTTTTTTTTTTTTAATAACCTTGGAATTTTATTTCAAACAGGCCTAGTAAATGTATCTTACCGCTATCACGTCCACAGTTTAGGTTGTTTTATGCCGTCAGGTTCGCAAGGTCGTTGATGCAATGCAGCGTTCGGCTGTGCAACCAGGTAGTATGTCTATTGGGACTGGTTTGTATGGTGGATATGAGCTTGGCGCTTCCCCCGCCGTCCTGGCTGCGCCCCCACAGCATGCGTGGTATCAGTGGATTACATCCAGGCCGTCGATCTCCCTATTTAATGCTCGGTCAGATAACCCTCTCCTAACTTTCTTATACTGGACACGACGCTACGACCGTTCGGTCTCAAGCAACCACGCGACCGCCGCCATGTTACCTCACGGAACGACTGGTCCGTCTCCTGTCCGCGCCCGCGACGCTCTGTATACCCGCTTACACCGGTTTTTAAGGCCTAGTTGCACGACGTTGCACGACTCCCCACCCGACAACATTGTGAATGCAGCTGGACAACGTGGCCGTCTCGCTGCATCCGAAAAGGTCGACGACATTCCCCAAACGGAAATGCAGTCGCTAAACGACAAAACGCAACCCCATATACGCAGCCATTCCTGGCTGCGAACAAACTGATACCACGCTCGGGCGTGGGGGCGCAGCCAGGATGGCGGCGGACCGGTGACCAGCCCACGACGCGCCATTCCCGTCTTTATGAGAGGAATAGAATTCCCCCCGCGCTCCCAGCCCCAACCCTACCACCTCCGAAGCCACCCCTAGATGCCACCGACCGAGACCCTCCCCCTGTCCCGCTCTTGCCTCCACGGCCTGGCGGGTGCCCACTGTCCCTCACATTCCCTTTCCCGCTGCTACTGCCCACCTCCCCCCCCCCCCCCCCGCCCCGTGTGCCTCCTCCCCACAAAGACCCTCCCTCTCACAGCCCGCCGTACACATACCCGGCCGCACGTGCGGCCGAGGCCGAATGCAGACACTGCCGCTCCAAGTTCCGCCAGCAGGTGCAGCCGGCTGCTCCTCAGCGCAGTGCAGACCCGAATAAAAAAAGCCTGAAACACGCTGCGCACCTGTCCGCCTACACAGGTAAGATACACACAATACAAAAACAAAAAAAACATCTTTCCGGTCATGTGTCCGGGCGTCGCAACAACGAACGACCCCAACATTTCTGAATTACATCTGGGCCGTCGATCTCCCTATTCAACGCACGGTCAGATAACCATTTCCCAACTTTCCTATAGGGGACCCGACTACTACCGGTAGGTCTCCAGTGACAAAAAAGCCTGAAACGCGCTGCGCACCTATCCGCCTACACAGGTAAGATACACACAATACAAAAACAAAAATACGACCATCTTTCGGGTCATGTGTCCGGGGCCTCGCAACAACATTTCTGAATTACATCCGGGCGGTCGATCTCCCTATTCAACGCACGGTCAGATAACCATTTCCCGTGGTCTCCAGCAACAGAAAAGCCTGAAACGCGCTGTGCACCTGTCCGCCTACACAGGTAAGATACACACAATACCAAAAAAAAAAAAAAAACGACCATGTTTCGGGTCATGTTTCCGGGGCCTCGCAACAACGAACGACCCCAACATTTCTGAATTACATCCGGGCCGTCGATCTCCCTATTCAACGCACGGTCAGATAACCATTTCCCTACTTTCCTCTGGCCCCCTATTAACCGGACCCGACCGGTCGGTCTCCAGCGACCACGCGTCCTCTGCAGAGACCGCCGCCCTGTTACCTCATGAGACCTACCACGCGTCCTCCGCAGCGACCGCCGCCCTCTTACCTCACGGAACCACCCGTCTGTCTCCTGTGGGCGACCGCGACTCCCTGTATACCCACTTACACCTGTTTTTTAAGCCTAGTACCTCACGGAACCACCACGCGTCCTCTGCAGAGACCGCCGCCCTGTTCCCTCTTACCTCACGGAACCACCCGTCTGTCTCCTGTGGGCGACCGGGACTCCCTGTATACCCACTTACACCTGTTTTTTAAGCCTAGTACCTCACAGAACCACCCGTCTGTCTCCTGTGGGCGACTCCCTGTATACCCACTTACACCTGTTTTTTAAGCCTAGTTGCAAGATCTGCACCCGACAACATTGTGAACGCAGCCCCTGAACGACAAAACGCAACCCCGTATATGCAGCCATTCCTGGCTACGAACACGTCCAGATTCAGGTCTTCAATCCTATCCTCTTTGCTAGTGGGACCTTGCCCCAGGGGTTGCATGTCCCCCCCCCCCCCTCCCCCTAATCAGCAGTGTGTGTGTGTAGTATCTACCACTCCAATAGTGCTTCTTTTTCTCATCCAGTCGTGACGACACTGACGAGTAGCAACTGACACTCAAACGGATATGCAAAGCGGAGAAAGGGAGAAGGGAGGAGAAGAGAAGAGAAGAGAAGAGAAGAGAAGAGAAGAGAAGAGAAGAGAAGAGAGAAGGGAGAAGCATGGGCAGAGGAGAGGAAAAAAATAGGTATGACACATGATGTCCCCGAACGCGACTCAATTTCGGAAAATATATGAAGATGAAGCTTGGCACTGGCGTAGGACCCTATCAGCAGTGGTCAGGGAGTAGGGTGGGGCTGGCGGTGGGGCGTGCCGCCTAACGCGAAGTCCGAGCATTTTGCCAGTACAGATGCAATTTTCCCTTTTTCACTTTTGTTCCCACTGTCTCTTTGGCAACAACGGCCCTCTCCCCCCCCAACCAAAAAAAAAACCACCGCCCGACGCTCGCCTTCGCTGTGCAACGTTCGACTCTGCTACGCTACTACGGAGACGCACACTTCTATCACGCACACCGGTCAAAGACAAGCACACATCACATATACAAACACACACACACACACACGCACACACACACACTACATTTAGAGGTGCAGCTCATTGTTGGACTCTGCATTGTGAAGGTTGGACACCGCACCGAGGCTTGGGCTGTGCATTGCGTGGAGGTTGAGCAGAAGGCTTGGGCTGTGCATTGCGATGACTGCACTGAGTACTCGCAACACGAAGATGGGAGACTTAGGTTACTAGATCTCTTCTCGCACCCATTTTTGTCGCCCTTTTTTTTTTTTTCCTGTGTGTGTGTGTGTGTGTGTGTGTGTGTGTGTGTGTGTGTGTGTGTGTG